CCAGGATTTCAGCACTTCCTCTTTGTTACGTTCCCCTTGATCCTGCCCTTAAATATCTTTTTACCATATCCTTGTAACATACCTGAGAGGTGGGAGGCAAATTGCTCAAATTCACAAAGCTGTAAGTGCAAAATGTGGATTAAAAGCTCTGGATCTTTCTGCCAAGGTCTGTGCTCCTATTCAATATACTGACTTCTAAAACTGAGCTCTAACTGACTTCTAAAACTGAGCTCTAACAAATTGGGGTAACAGAGCTGGTGGCCAAACTTAGAATCTTAGTCCCTACACCACAAATCAAGCTACTCTGTTAGCTCAGATCTGTGCTACTTGTGCAGTGTAACTTTGGGCATATTACTTAATATAGGTTCAGTTTCAAGGGGCTCAGCTTAGCAAGAGACCAATAATATAGACTGAGCTGTGCTACTGTAACAGATGGGGGAACAGTTAATTCTGCTAAGACTTAGGGGAAAGGCTTAAGACACAAAGCTGCATGCAGCATGTTATTGAGAAAGAGGGCATTCCCAACTGAAGTGTAACAGGTTCAGGAAAGAGCATGCACCGGGAGTTTACGGAGAATAACATGGCTGGGCAGGCAAATGCAAGTGAGAAAAGGGTGTTTGGAATGTGAAAGGGCCTAGTAATTGGTTCTCAAAGGGGTAGGGGCACAGATTAAAAAAACTCCAATTAAAAACAAAACTCCGATTAACAGTTAAATTAAGACATATGTTTAAATCTCTTCTGTTTATTATGTGAGAAGTACTGAAGAAATATTTAGAGGACTGTTAATTGTTTGATGAACTGATTAATAATTATTACACGACTTTCATAAAATATTGAAACTGATAAACTGGCACCTTGTCCCTCTCCAAATCTAGAAAGAAGAGGAAAATAACATGGGGAAAAGAATATCTAGACCAGATTTATGGTTAGAGACTTCCTCATATTGATTAAGTAGGCTCTTGTGATCTCTTTATGTTGTAATGGCTAAATTAGACTAATAAAAACAAGAACTGTAAATGTATGGTTCTGAATAGCTGGAGGAAACTTCAGAGAATGATAGCTTTCTAAATGCTGTCAGTGACCATCTGAAATCATCTACCTGTGTACCTTCAGGTTTTCTTAATAGCATGGTTCATAGATCACAAAATGTCTCTACCACCAGTCACATGAAGGCAGCTCACTACTCAGAACCAGAGCAAGAACATGAAACGTTACTCCCAGTCATTCACTTTCAGAGTTCAAAGAACAAAGAGCCACTTACTGGTTAAAGTTCTCCTGTCTTCTTTTAAAGGATTCATTAACTGTTTCCAGCCAGAGTTCATTAAAAATTCTTTATTTAGTATATTCTCTCACCCAGAGAATAAACTTGATAAACATTGATTGTTTTAAAATATTGTAGCAATAGTTTCTTGATAGGTAGTTGGATTAGTAGAGTTATAAATACAAAAAGAGGAAAGGGAAATAAGACATTGTTTTTAACAAAAATTCAGGAAGATCTTGATTATTAAAATTCCTTTTATTTTACAAGTTTTGCATATATGGTTTTCTCTCTTCAGAGACCTCTACTAATAAGGCACCTGCAATAGTAAAAAGTTTACTGCTGCAGCCTTGGGGAGCATCTCTTAGTGTTGTCTGATGCTTCTCTGACAAAGCACACATTGAGTCCCGACAGACAGTCCCATATTATTTAGGTACATCCTAAATTCTACAGACAACTGATGGACAGGAATAAAATCACAAACCCTTCAATTAACCAGAGCAGCCTACACAAACTTTGAATTTCATAGACAGATGAAGTGTTAACAGAGATGGAATGGCAGTTGACTTTATGAAAGCTCACACTTTAAAACTGAAACTGAAATTTCGAGCTGTGGCGTTGAGCTATTTTGTAACTAGGCAGCACCCCCTCACTATACAAATAGCAACTAGCTTCTGATTTCTTCAAGCCTAACAAATGATGACTTTAAAGATCAGCATTGCCCATTGCCCTATCCATGATTCCAAATGGAGGACCCTTCCCATGTCTTGATCTTTTCCTCTTAGCTCATCTGAAGTGATGCTTGTTGAGTGAAATATCTCCCGGAGTGTCAGCTCGCTCCTTACTGCAGGTATCCTTGACAAGGGCAGGAGCCTTTGACTCAGCCAGGTTCCCAGTTAGTGTCCTATAAGGTTCCCATGCTCCCGGAGAACATCATGCAAACTTCTTCTTGGTGGCTGTGAACCTTTCCATGTACTAAAAGCATGAAACAAGAATAGTTCCTATTCAGCAAGGGTACATACAAGCAGGCTTTAAAAAGCTCATGGACAAATTCCCATTGTTTAATGACAATATTCCAGGAATGTTCTGAAGCCCCTTCACATAAGCTTGTTTGTTACTTAAGCTTTTATGAGTTTTTCACTTTTAAATTTTATTAAGATCTGGTCCTTCATTTCTTACAAAATCTAGCTATACTATTCATAGAGCCTACCTCTAAAAACAGGAAACACATACCCTGTTGACGCTAAGCACGTTCATGTGGTTAACTTCATGCCTTTCTTGGATAGTTAGAAATACCGCCATGCCCTAGTACTCACCTTATCATAGCCTTCCAGTTCTCGAAGCTTCTTTATCTCAAAAAGATTGCCTTCTACAGCAAGCAGAGAGATCTGAGAATCACTAAGGATACTCTGCGGAAGCATGCTGAGCTCAAGACAGTTCTCTTCCAGACGAAGAACTTTGAGCCGAGGACAGCATGATATCTTCACTGAGATCTGCGATATCTATCAAACAAAGAAAAACAGGGATAGCAAAAGGCACAATGGCTCATTTCTGTATTAAAAACAGTACTTGACTCATTGTTTCTCCTCGTTCTCTTTCACCCCTCCATTTTCTCATTACCTACTCTCTCCAGAAGCCTCCATTATCTACTCCACCGAAACTGCTTTTATGAAGGTCACCATGATATGATAATAAAAGCACCATGTTCACTATAGAAATTTAAGGGAAAAAAAAACTGCCTAGCACCCAGAAGTAAGCACTATAACATTTTGGTACATTTTTGCCAGTCTCTTTTGTGTACACACATGCTGACCACTGTACTGCCAAAGTCATGAATTCACTGCTATCCTGTTACATTTGACTCCCTTGAAACTCCCTTCTCGTGCTTAATTACTTGGCTTTTTTTCCTCTCATCTTTTAAAGTGTTTTCTATTTGGTTCCCTTTCTTACTCCTATGGAAACTTCAAGCAATAATAATAAAAAAAATAACCCACTATCATTGAGTTGATTCTGATTCATAGTGACCCTAGACTATACATCTTTATGAAATTGGACAGCCTCATCTTTCTCCTGAGGAACAGCTGGTGGCTTTGGACCAAGGACCTTGAGGTTCACAGCCTAATGCCTAACCCACAGCACTAACAAGCCGTGGTCCCTAGTATTTCCTATTTGATCTTGTTGCTATACTTTATTATTCATAACAAAAATTTGTATTTACATCTGTATCTGCTTGCTTCACTTCCACTATTTCTCATAACTCCGGGTAAAAAATTTCCAATTGGACAACTCAGCAGGTCCATTGTGGGTAGCATCACTGTTTATTTAGGGCCTCAAGCTTGATGCCAAGAATTTGTCTTTCACTCCTTCTGCCTTATTAAGGCTGAACTTCACCAAATTTTGTTGACTGCCTGATTACCGCAGTCTAAGTGGTTCTCAAGATGTGGTCTCTCAGACTACCACTTGGGAATTTGTTATATACAAATTCTCAGACCCTTCCCAACACCTAGTGAATCTCAAACCCTGAGGAAAAGGAGTCCAAATGAACCCTCTTGACAAGCCATGTGGTTTATTTTCACAATCTAAGAGCCATTGATGCATCACAAGGTGGATATGGAGCAAGTCAATTCCAATTCATAGTGACTCTATTGTTAACTGCTTAAATGATTCACAACCCACCCTCCCACCCCCAAGTGCAAGAGCAAAAAACAGCCTCCATTTTAGATAAAAAGAGGCCAATCTCAAAGATTGTTTTATAATGTGAGGACACCACAGGTCCACTCAGGCATTCTTTTTCTCAAAACAGAAACTGGAATTAATGCAAGGTGAGACATTTTAGGAAAACCAACATTTCTAGCAGAAAGAATGATCCATAAAAGATTTGGTTTGCAATAGTTTGCATTATAGTTTATGGTGTACCAACATCCATAACAGACTTGACCATATGACTGAAAAACTAATTTTCTAAAATTCTCCAAACCAGATGCTGAATCTACTTGCACATAGCCATCTCTTACATTCTAGAACAGTGCTGCCAATAGGATTATTTACAACGATGGTAGGGTTCTATATCTGAACCATACAATATAGTAGCCACTGGTACTTGAAATGTAGCTAGTATGACTACGGAAACTTTAATTTTTTTTAACTTTAATTCATAAAGCAAAATTACTATGTTTAATGTTCCATATTTGTGGTTTATGCCTAAACCAAAGATTGTTTTCCAGATAAATTCATATGAACCAAAGAGCTTCCCAAGTAAACAGATTTCAAATATAATTAAAGTCCAATAATGAAACGAATTCCAGAAAAAAAAAAGTTGCCTGTTTATCCCTGATTTTTTTCAGCAAAAGCAGGACATACTTGATGAAGTGGTCAGAGAATAGAGCTAAATAAACCCTGATGTCCAATGTGAAGAGCTTATGAGTTCCAGTTTCTTGTCTACTTTATCTAACTGACACAGCTCCTTGGTAGGATCTAAAGAACTCTTTATGATTTGTGAGGCAGTAAGTTATTGTAATTTACTCACCATTATCCACCCCACACTCCAAAAAAAATCTCTTACACAAGGACCGCAATATCTCAACTTATTCCAGGGCATGTTGGATTTCACCATTAGCTAATCCAGCCCATAAAGTACTCTTCTTATCTAACCTCTGATACCAGCTCTCCATGATTTGGGAACAAGGTGTTAAAGAGACCCTAAACCCAACACATGCTTTAGGAAAAAAAAATCATTAAACTCTAGACCTGGTTCTGGTTGAGGTTGAGTTCGATGACCTGCAGCTCCCCCACAAAGTCAGGTATACTCCGAATCTGGTTCTTAGAGAGATCCATCACATCCAGGTGCCGAAGGCTACAAAGTTGGGGGGGCAGTGCTCGGAGTTGGTTCCCAGAGAGGCTCAGGGTCTTGAGAGCAGAGAGTTGCCCAAAGGTAGATGGCAGCTCTCTCAGGTGATTGTTGTTTAGGATTAGCATCTCTAGTTTTTTCAGATTGCATAACTCATCAGGCAGAACAGCTGGCAAAGAAAATGTTTTAAAAACCTGAATCTAATAGTGCAGAAAACCACTTTGCTGAAATTCCTAAAGATGATATGTGGGGAGGGAGGGGGAAAATGAGGACCTAATGTCAGGGGTTTAAGTGGAGAGAAAATGTTTTGAGAATGATGTACAAATGCGCTTTACACAATTGATGTGTGTATGGATTGCCATAACAGTTGTATGAGCCCCTAATAAAATGTTAAAAAAAAAAAAGATTATATGGAAGCCTGCTTCGCCTCTTGTTAAAATATACAGAATTCCCACATGATGTGCCACTTGTAAGTACTGCATCCAACCAAAGTAGTGTTCAGAAGGTGAGGGTACCATCAGAATTAGGAGAGCATTTGTGTATAATGGTCTCCTTTGTAAAAGGGGCCGTGGCACAATCCAATAGCAATTTTGTGGGATTTAGAAGGCTGTCCTCTTCCCATTCTATACCCCCTTCCAAATTAGTTGGCACTGTTTACATACATTACATCCCAGAGATCGTTCTTCCCTTTCACGTCCAACTTGACCTAGTACCAATCATCATACCACCCGAGGAGGTTTGTAAGTGTAACTACAAGAATGAGAAAGCTTCCAGGACTCTGGCATGCTCCTCCACCTCGAGCCCTCAACTACTTCACAATAACGAAATCAGCTTGTAGGAGAAAACCACCCTTTTAAACAGCTGATCCCTTAGCAAAAGTTTCCCAGGTGCAGATGCCCTACTCAGTTTGTTGTTGTTCAGGGAGAGGCTCTTCAACAGCGTGAACTTCCCGATCAGCAGAGGCGGCAGGCTGTCGATCTTGTTGTTGGACAAGTCGATGGTCCTGAGATTGCTCGTCAGCTTCTGTAAGTCTAAGGGGAACTGGAGACGGGTTCACAGCATGGACACTCCTTCACGGAATCACTCCAGTGCTTCCCACCGCCCCGCTCCCCTTAATTTTCCCAGTCGGATCCCTTCTCGGCTCACCTCTGTCAGCCCACGGTCCTTGAGCTGAAAGACACCCGTTTTCTGCGCGGTTTCCACATGAGCTCGGAGGGCACTGTTCCCCATTCTTGTGCCGCGGCTCAGGTCCCTGCGGAAGGAAGCGCAACTGTCACCGCCCGGTTAGGGTCCCTTCCACTCCGTCGGCCCCCGGGCTGGGTCTCAGGCCCCTGGGGCCACCACCAGCAGATCCCTGGACTCTGGGGCCAGCCCGGGAGTAGCAAGGATTGACAGCTCGGCCACCAGGTCGGCCGCTTTTGCAGCTCTTCCGAAGCCAGATCTCTCTGGGAGCTCCCGGACAAACGGGGAGCCCGGGCACCGCCTCCTCCCCCTTAGTTTACCGACCCGCTCGGCAGAGGGAAACTCTGGACGCGCGTCCGCCGGGATGCGCCCCCTGCGCTTCCGCCTGGCAGGGAACGCCCCGTGACGTCATTGGGCCGCGCCGCCCGGTCGCCGAGTCGGTTCTTCGGCGGCTGCGGACGCTGCATCATGGCTGCCGCCAACCCCTGGGACCCGGGGTCGGCGCCCAGCGCCGCGGGACTACTGCTGGGCCATTTCCTCAATTCGGGGCTGATCACACAGGTGTGTGGAAAGGCTATCGCCTCGTCCAGGAGGTACCCGCGGTGACGACATAAGCGGCTGTAATGTGACGGGGGTGTGAGCAAGGCGGCCAGCGGACTGTAGCTGAATGGATGCGAAAGGAGGCCCCCTTCCAGCTTCCTACAGAGCCGTGGTCCCTAGTATTTCCTATTTGATCTTGTTGCTATACTTTATTATTCATAACAAAAATTTGTATTTACATCTGTATCTGCTTGCTTCACTTCCACTATTTCTCATAACTCCGGGTAAAAAATTTCCAATTGGACAACTCAGCAGGTCCATTGTGGGTAGCATCACTGTTTATTTAGGGCCTCAAGCTTGATGCCAAGAATTTGTCTTTCACTCCTTCTGCCTTATTAAGGCTGAACTTCACCAAATTTTGTTGACTGCCTGATTACCGCAGTCTAAGTGGTTCTCAAGATGTGGTCTCTCAGACTACCACTTGGGAATTTGTTATATACAAATTCTCAGACCCTTCCCAACACCTAGTGAATCTCAAACCCTGAGGAAAAGGAGTCCAAATGAACCCTCTTGACAAGCCATGTGGTTTATTTTCACAATCTAAGAGCCATTGATGCATCACAAGGTGGATATGGAGCAAGTCAATTCCAATTCATAGTGACTCTATTGTTAACTGCTTAAATGATTCACAACCCACCCTCCCACCCCCAAGTGCAAGAGCAAAAAACAGCCTCCATTTTAGATAAAAAGAGGCCAATCTCAAAGATTGTTTTATAATGTGAGGACACCACAGGTCCACTCAGGCATTCTTTTTCTCAAAACAGAAACTGGAATTAATGCAAGGTGAGACATTTTAGGAAAACCAACATTTCTAGCAGAAAGAATGATCCATAAAAGATTTGGTTTGCAATAGTTTGCATTATAGTTTATGGTGTACCAACATCCATAACAGACTTGACCATATGACTGAAAAACTAATTTTCTAAAATTCTCCAAACCAGATGCTGAATCTACTTGC